CGGTTCAGGACAGAAGTTCTACCCAGAACTATAGATTGCCATCTGTGTGAACCATCCCCTGTGCCACTGTTTAGAGATGAGTGTGGCAGATGTGGCATAAGTTATAGACAAGGTACAGAAAGATGAGGGACTCCCAACAGGTCACAATAATATAGAAGCCTTCAGATTTCTATATGACCAGAATTTAGAATCCTTGTCAAATTAAAAGAGCAATAAGTTTTATATTTAATTGAAGTCCTTTGTAATACCAACCAAAAAAATAGGCAAGCAACAGCTATTAGGAAAGTCTTTGCTTTGCTGCAAACTCCCTTCAATTAACTTTCTCTCTAATCCTCATCCAGGCTCAAAGAATGAAAAAGCTTTGGGCCAGAAAATAAACTCCTGGGAGTCATCAAGAAAAGGACATTCATTCTTGAATAATTTGCACCTGAGGAACGGAGAGCTGGTTATCCATCGAAAAGGGTTTTATTACATCTATTCCCAAACATATTTTCGATTTCAGGAATCTGAGGACACTTCGGAAACGATTTCACCAGAACAGAAAAGAAAGAAAAACAAACAAATGGTACAATATATTTACAAATACACAAGTTATCCTGACCCTATACTGCTGATGAAAAGTGCTAGAAATAGTTGTTGGTCTAAAGATTCAGAATATGGACTCTATTCCATTTATCAAGGTGGAATATTTGAGCTTAAAGAAAATGACAGAATTTTTGTATCTGTAACAAATGAGAAGTTGATTGACATGGACCAAGAAGCCAGTTTTTTTGGGGCCTTTTTAATTGGCTAAATGATCTGAAAAGGAAAAAGAAAGAAAAAAGAAGACAGTGTCTTTGCAGTGTCCTTTCAATTCAGGCTGATATACTGTGAAAATATCCCACCATATCTGACCAAATAAGGCAGCCTGAGCAAAGCAGCTGCAACAAAAAGACTGCAACGTATCATTTTTAAATATCTCTGAAAAGTGACCAACTTATTGCAAAAATGAAATTGCTAAAAGACCTTTCAGGACTCTACCTGATACCAGTTTTTTAACAGAAATCTAGAAGATTCTCAGTGTACAAGCACTTGTGTAGCAATTAAGCTATTCTATCTTCATCATCTACTCTTGAGAAGATTCCAGAAGAGAAATTACCTATTTCTTAAGTAGTAAATTGTCACATTGGTAGCTTCCAGGTTGCTGTAAGAGACAACATTCCCAGAGTTGAAAGAGAAAGGGGCACCACTAAAAGCTCATAATCTTGGGAGGTGATCCTCTGTCCACACAATACATGCAACGTGCAAAGGGAGTGCTTTGTGCAGGACTCTGCAGGAGCTGCCTCATACACTTAGATTTGGTGCAAATAAGAAAATTCCACTCGAAGTAGTACCATTTCGCTAAAATAAAGTTATGTTCTGTGAACAAGGAACTACTTCTGAATGGCTTGTGCTGCCAGATCAAGCTTGCCAAAAGCAATAAAGATTTTTATTTCTAATTTTTAAAAAATATATGCGCTGAAGATATTTTGAATAAAGGGCTCGAGAATCAGTGATCCGTTAATCAGAAATCAGGGAATTTGGTCTCATGTGAGGAGGAGAAATGGGAAAGTCAGAATGACAAACACAGGTAAATCAGCAGTAAAGAGCTACCCCCACCTCCCTTGCTAGATGTCAAATATCTAGTATATACCTGCCATTTATTTGCCCCTGCCAGAAGAACAGCAATTCCTTTCATCTTCCAAAACATTTCATTTCACCATTTAATTTAATCAGTTATAGAAAAAATTAATTGAGGCATTTGTCTAATCTCTTTTAATTTTTATTTGTGATCACAACATAACTTATACTCTTTGGTTATATGCTCAAATTTTTATTTAAATGTGTCTTGATTAATCAGGTCTTCTTCAAAAAAGCTCATTCAAATTTAGATTTACAACATGCTATGACACTTAGCACTTCTGACTCTCCTCATTCTATTTTTTCCATAACATTAATCACATTCTTACATACAAACAAATTGACATTTATGTTAGAGGTAAGTCTTCTCTCTCTCTAGAATATAAGCCCTGCGATAGCAGGGAACATTTAGTCTTGGTTGCGTCTGTTTCCCTAGTACCTAGAATAATACCTGAACATAATACTCACACAAAATATATTTGTAAATAAATGATTGACAGAAAGAAAGAAAGAAAAGAAAGAAAGAATATCTAGTTACATTGAAAAAATAAATATCCCATCTTACTCCTTACACCAAAGAAACTGGAGAATTTCAAAAGTAATCTCAAAGTGGAGAAGATCTTTTAAACCAAGATTTAAAACCCAAAGAAAAAGACTGAAATGTTTGGTGATGTATAACTTAGGGATCTAAGAGAAAATTAATTTTTAGTCTATATTTTTGTACTAAAATTTTATAATGTGTTACTTTTTCAATAAAAATGACACGTTTAAGTATGTAGTTTTTATCTAATACTCATAATTATTTTCTAATACCAAGATTACTAAAAATGCGAGAAAGGACTTCTAATCTCGTTTCCACAATATCTTTTATTTGACCTATCTTACAGAAGAGAGAAATAAATTGCTCACTTTTAATGTGATAAAATATACCTCTCTTTTCCCTTATGGTTAATGCTTTTATTATAGATTGAATCATGTCCTCTGAAAAGATGTGTTGACATCCTACTCCCCAGTATCTAAGAGTGTGATTTTACTTGGAAATAGGATTGTTGCAGATATAATTAGTGAAGATGAGGTTGTAGTGGAATAGGGTGGGCCTATAATACAGTATGATGAATATTCTTATAAAAGGAAGGCAAATTAGAGACAGAGACACACAGCAGCACTGGGAAGCTAATATAGCTTTTCATACCACATTCAAGAAATCTTTTCTACTGACATCATACAAATATCGCCACATATATTTTTTCTAATTGCTTTAAAGTTTGGCCTTTCATAGTTTCATAGTATTATTTGACTATAATTTAATTCTTTGTGATGTGAGACAGGGATATAATTTATCTTACCATTTCAGTAGCCAGTTGTCCAACACTGTTCATTGGGTAGTTCACTTTTTTCACCACTGATTTTAATATCTCTTCTATCATATACCAAGCTGTCGTGGGTCTCTTTCTGTGCTCACTTTTTCCCTCATTGGTCTAATTGTCCATCCTTGCACCCATACCATCCTTTTTTTTTTTTTTTAATTGTGGTAAAATAAACATAACATAAAATTTACCATTTTTACCATTTTTAATGTACAATTTAGTGGTATGAAGTATATTCACATTGTTGTACAACCATCACCACCATCTAACTCTAAAACTTTTTTATCTTCCCAAACTAACACTTTGTACCCATTAAGCAATAACTCTTCATTTTCCCTTATCCCAACCCCTGGTAGTCACGATCATATTTTTTTTTTACCAGAGACCAAATTTGTGAGCACCTCTATCTTGGACTTCCCAGCCTCTAGGACTGTGAGAAATAAATTTCTGTTGTTTATAAACCATCCAAATATGTGATATTTTGTCGTCGCAGCCCAAACAAAGATAAAAGGGCAGAGAGATTATTTGAAAAAATGATGGCCAAAACTTTTCAAATTTAAGGAAATACAGGAATCTACAAATCCAAGAAGCTCAACAAACTCCAACCAGATAAATTAAAGAGACCCATACCAAGACATATTATAATCAAGCTTTCCAAAGACAAAGAGAGAATCTTGAAAGCAGCAAGAGAAAAGTGACTTGTCACATTCAAGGGGGGTCTCGATAAGATTATCAGTCAATTTCTCAGCATAAATCTTGGGGACCAGAAGACAGTAGGATGATATATTTAAGTACTAGAAGCAAAAACTTTCAAATGAAAGTTTTATATCCAAAAAACTGTCCTTCAAAGTGAGGGAGAAATTAAGACAGTCCTAGATAAACAAAAGCTGAGGGAGTTTATTACCACTACACCTGCCCTACTAGAAGTGCTAAAGGGAATGCTTCAAGTTGAAATGAAAGGACACTAGACAGTGACTTGAAGCCATATAAATATATAAAGATCTCTAGTAGAGGAAAATACATTGCAAACTGTAAGAAACATTATTATTGTAATTTTGATGTATAAAATTCATTTTTATTTTCTATAATAGTTAAAAGTCAAATGCATAAAATAAGTATAAATCTATGTTAATGGGTACAAAATACATAAAGATATAATTTGTGACATCAAAAACATAAAGTGGTAAGGTAACAAAACTGTAAAGGAGTAAATTTTGTGTGTAATTGAAGTTGATACCGATTCAAATAGATTGTTATAACTTTGGGATATTATATGTAATCCCCATGGTAGTCACAAAGAAAATATCTATAGAATATACATAAAAGGAAATGAGAAGGGAACCAAAACACCATAAAAAGTGAACTAAACACATGAATGGTCATAATGAAAGAAATGAGGAAAGACAAAACTATAAAATATATAGAAAGAAATATATAGAAAGAAAATAAATGTCAAAAGTAAGTCCTTTAAGTATATATGGATTAAAACTACTCTATCGAAAGACATAGATTGGCAGAATGGATTTAAAAATGTGATCCAACTATGTGTTGTCTATAAGAGACAACCTTTAGATCTAAGAATATGTATAGGTTGAAAATGAAATGACAAAAAGATATTCCATGCAAATAGTAACCCAAAGAGAGGTATGGTGGCTATGAGAATATCAGACAAAATAAACTTTAAGTTATGGTATGCGTCTCTTTAATTTATCTAGTTCTCATATATTCATATCCAGTGTGCCATATTGTTAATATTTTAAATGAGTATGGTGCATTTGTCATAAATAATGAACTAATATTGACACAATGTTATTTTTTAAAGTTTATTATTTAGATTTTTTCAGTTTTTATCTAATGTCTTTTTTCTTGTTACAGGATACCAGATTTCATTTGTTTCTTCATTTTCCTTAGACTACACTAGGCTATGCCTGTTTCCCATATTTTCTTTGTTTTTGATTGCCTTTATTGTTTTGGGGAGGTTTTTTATAGATACCACTTTATTAGGTTAAGAAAGATGCTTTCTGTTGCTCGTTTCCTAAGAGTTTCAATATGAATAGGTTATTAAATGCTTTGTCTGGGTCTATTTAAATAATGTATGATTTTTATCTGTGTAATTAATTGCATTGAGTGCATTAATAGATTTTTCTAATTTTAAATCATTCTTGTAATGTCGGAACAAACCCTAATTGATTAGAAGATGTTATTTATTGCAAACATAACTGAATTTAGTTTGCTAATATTTTTCTTAGGAATTTTACTTATACGTTTATTAATGATATATTAACAATTTTCTTCCTAATCCAATTTTCTCTCTCATCCAGTTTTGGTATCAAGGTTACACTGCCTTTTTAAAATAAGTCAGAGAGCTTCCTCTTTTAGAAAAGAGTAGAATTTGGATAACTGGCTCAATTTCTTAAATAATTATACATATGTTAATTGTTATTTATTTCTGTTACCTATATTATCTATTTCTACTTCTTCTTGTATCAGTTTTGTTCATTCACATTTTTCTTAAAAGGCTTTTAAAATGATTGAAAATTTACTAGCATTAACTTATACATAATTAATACAAGCCCCCCAAAATGATTTCTCAATTAGCCTATCTTGATTTAAAGCACTTTGTTTTTTAATTTATAATTTTGTACAACATAAGTATCTCTGCATATAACATTTGCATTCAACGTTTAGAATGAAAAAAGTTATATTTGCATGTGCAAAACTCAGTTTGGCAGTTTAAACAAATATTCTGGTAAAAGCCTCAAATTACATTCCAAATCCAATTGGTACAAAGTCAGAACCACATGCAAATTTTTGAATATTACAAATAGAAACTACAGCCACCCCAGAAAGAAAACAGTCCATTTGAACTGAAGGGAAAGGAGATAGGAAAGGAGGAAGGAAAATTGTCATATTTCTTAGAGTTTATAGGGTGAGACCATAGAGCTATTGAGCTGTGAACATGTGATATTCTTTAAGACAGGGGAAGAAGGCCCCAAAGATGATTCAGATATCATCAGGACTGCCTCCTTGGTATCAAAAGTAGGAAGTCTCTCACCAGAGTTTCAACAGACCAGAAAATCCCTGCCCATATCTGTGGGAGCGGTGCCACCCAAAGACCAGGGGGCAGTGCCTCTCAAAGCTGTGGGGACTGGAACCCTGTCCAGCAGAGCCAAGGGGTGTGGCTGCCTCCACCTAGATATCAAAAGATGGAGCCTCCCAGAACTGTGGGCACACAATCAGACAAAAGTCCACAGAGAGGCTGTGGTTACTGCAGGGAGCACCTGCTAGAGAAATGCCCAGTGAGGCCATGAGGGCATGGCTGCCCCCACGATTCCAGACCAGTAGAGCCACTGGTATGTGATTCTGGACCAGGGAAGCTGAAGGCATGCAAATCTAACCCATGAGAGCTGCTGTCTAGACTGCCCCCAGCAAAGCCATGGGGTTTGGGATGCCACAGTGTGTCCAAAAGGTGGAACACCCACCCCATTGGGCCTGGCAGGCAGCTTATCTAGTTAAAGATTATTCTCAAGCCTTAAGATTTGATGTTTGTCCTACTGGGTTTGGACTTGCTTGGGATCTGTTGCCCCCGCCCTCTTTTTTTTTTCCTATTTCTCCCTTTTGGAATGAGAAAAGTTACCCTATGCCTGTCCCACCATTGTATTTTGGAAGCACATAACTTGTTTTATTTCACAGGTTCGCAGCTGAAGAGCAATTTGCCTCAGAATGAATGGTACCCTATATCTGACTGAAGTATTTATATGAGACTTTGGACTTTAGATTTTTGAGTTGATGCTGGAACAAGTTAAAACTTTGGGACTATTAGTATGAATGAATGTATTTTGCATCCAAAAAGGACATGAATTTGGGGGACAGGGGAATAATGCTATGATCTGAATGTTTGTGTCCCCTCTAATTTATATATTGAAATTGTAATGCCCTATGTGATGGTATTAGAGGTGGGGCCTTCGGGAAGTGATTAGGTCATGAGGGCTCCACCCTCATGAATGAGATTATGCCCTTATAAAAGAGGCTCAAGAGAGCTTCCATGCCCCTTTGCCATGTGAAGATACAATGAAAAGTCTTCAACTCAAAAAGAGGGCTCTCACTTGATCATGCTGACACCCTGATCTTGACTTCCTGCTTCCAGAATTATGAGAATTAAATTTCTCTTGTGAGAAATAAATTTCTGTTGTTTGTAAGCCATCCAGTCTGTGGTATCTTGTTATAGTAGCCTGGATGGACTAAGACACTCTCCAATCAAAAGATATAGAATGGTTGAATGGATTTAGAAAATAAGACCCAGCAATATGCCGTCTACAAGATTCACTTTAGATTTAAAGACATATATAGGCTGAAAGTGAAAGGATAGAAAAAGATATTCCATGTAAATGGTAACCAAAAAACAGCAGGGATGGCTATACTTATAGCAGGCAAAATAAACTTCAAGTCAAAAACTGTCTCTAGAGACAAAGAAGGTTATTATATAATGATAAAAGGGCCAATTAACAAGAAGGTAGAACAACTATAAATATATATGTGTCCAATATCAGAGCACCTAAATATATAAAGCAAATATCAATAAATCAAAAAAGAGAAATTAACAGCAATACAATAATAATATGGACTTTAAGATCCCATTTAAAATAATGGATAAAACACTTAGAAAATCAATAAAGAAACAAGTGACTTGAACAATACTACATATTGAAAGAACCTAACTGACATCAACAGAACTTTCTAACCAACAGCAGACAAATATGCATTTTTTCCAAGTGCATATGGAACATTTTCCTGGATAGATCACATGTTTGATAACAAAACAAGTCTTAACATTTAAAAAAAAAAATTGAAATCATGCCAAATATCTTTTCCAATCACAATAGAATGAAACTAGAAATCAATAACAGCAAGAAAATGGGATAATTCACAAATATGTGAAAACTAAACAATATAGTCTTTAACAACCATTGAGTTAAAGAGGAAGTCAAGGGAATTTAAAAATTACCTTGAGACAAATGAAATGAAAACACAAGATACAAAAACCATAAAATGAGTTTGAAAGCACCTCCAAACTCATTTTATGAGGCCAGCATCACCTTAAAAACAAAACCAGACAAAGATACCATAAGAAAAGAAAATTACAGGCCAATATCTTGATGAACATGGTGTAAAAATTCTCATTAAAATATTAGGAAATTGTAGCCAACTGAGTAATAGAGTATTAGACACCCTGACTAAGTAGGATTTATCCCAGGAACACAAAGGTGATTCAGCATAAGAAAATCAATCAATGTCATATACCACATTAATATAACTGTGGGAAAAACCCACATGATCACCTCACAGATGCTTGTCACAGAAAATGCATTTGACAAAACCAATACCCCTACATGATAAAGATACTCAGAAAACTAGGAATAGAAGTAAATTTTCTCAACATAATTTCATCAACAAAGGGCACTTATGAAAAATCTACTATGATACTCAAAGCTGAAAGACTACAAACTTTCCCCTTCAAACCAGAAACATGACAAGGACGCCCACTACTGCAATTCAACATTGTACCGGAAGCTCTAGTTGAGTAATGAAGCAAGAAAAAGAAACTAAAGACGTCCAAATTAGAAAAGAAGTAAAACTATCTCTATTTACAAATGACATGATTCTATATTTTAAAAATCCCAAAGAATCTGAAAAAAAAAAAAACCCACAAAAAAAACCTATTATAGTTATTTAACAAATTCAGCAAAGTTGCAGGGTACAAGATCAACACACAAAAACCAGTTGTTTCTATACATCAGCAAACATCAATCAAATGAAAATTCATGTTGTTTGTGACAAGTGAAATGTAGAAATGTATGAAAAAAAGTTAAAAATCAATAATTCTCCCATTCTCTTCCCACCATGAAGGAGCCAATGTTAAAATGATATGTCCTTTTTTAAAAAAAAAATTTAATTAATTTATTTTTTTGGTAACATTGGTTAATGAAATCCAGTAAGTTTCAAGTGTACAATTTAACAATAAGGCATATATATATTGCATTGTGTGCTTCCTCTCCCACAGTTAGATTTCTTTCTGTCACCACGTATTTGACCACTTTTACCCCATCTACCTCCCACCTTCCCCCTCCTCTCCACCCTCTGGTAACCATTAGTCTATTGTCCATGTCCCTAAGTCTCTGTTTGTTTGTCCTGTTCATTTATCCTTTTACATCTTTCTTCCTGTTTACATATATAACCAATACTCCAGCTTCATCAACTTTTCTTTTTCTTTTTATAAATGAGAATATATAATCATATATATATATATACACATTATATACACACACACTTATGTGTGTGTGTATTTGTATGTGTGTATGTGTATAAAACTCAGCAACTCCTTGATTTAACAGTATATAGACTTTTTTCAGGTTGAAACATTCAGGTCTAATTGATTCTTTTTAAATATTGCATAATGCTTTATTGAACAACTAGATCCTACTTTATTTCATTATTCATTTGTTCCCACTTGTTTGTTCCTACAAATAATACCATAATAAAAGTCTTAGTCTTTAATCCTTATATTCTGGGTTCTAAGTTGGGATTGCTGTGCCAATTTAACGTGTTAGATATTTAAAAATAAATAATTACTTTCTTAACCTTTTGCAGCAGCTTACACTCTCAGCAGCAGGGAATGAGAATATCTTGTTCC